GGGAATTTGGAAAAGGAAGTCTAGAAGACTATGAGATAAATTACTTTCCATGGTTGGAAACAGAAAAATCAAAAAATATATATGTTTTCTTGAAAGGCAGAGGAAACAAACTTCAAGAGAAAACAAAAAGCTTAATGAGATTCACTCTACAAGTATTTATGGAACTCCACTGTATCAGCCACTTCCTGGTCACTGGGATGCAATACCTGACACACACAACTTAAAGGTGCGGATTACTTTGGCTCACAGTTTCTGTCTATGATCAGCTGGCTCCAAGGCAGAAACAGCACAGTGGAGGGATGGTGCAGAGGAAAGCTGCGTACTCCACTCTGTACTCTGGGGCAGGCAGAAAGCTGGGAGAGAGGGAGGAGCCATGGGCAAGAATACACCCTTCCAGTGACACACCTCCTCTAACCAGGCCCCACCCCTGCAGCCCATAAAACTATAGGCCACTGATGAGATTGCACCCCACGATCCAAAGTCCCTCAGAAACCCCTCTACTGGACACGGAGTTTGGGGAAACCATAACACACATTGTATGTAGAGGTTCTAGGCCCAGCCCTGGACCTCTGAGCATCTTGGATAGGTATCTATTGGGGAGAGGGGGGAGGTCCTATGTACTGGAGGATTTTAGCAGCATCCCTAGCTTCTCTCCACTCAATGCTGGTAGCACTCCCTCCCTCCAGTTGCGACAATCAAAAAAGTCTCCAAATATTGCCACATGTCTGCTGGAGGAAAAAAATAGACTCCCAGTTGTGAATCGCTCTCCCTTCTAAGTAACAGAGATTCAGCAAAAGACACAACAGACCAAATGAACAAATGAGCAAAAACCCTGAAAGTCATTACCTCTGAGAAAAAATGTCAGGGGTAGGAAAGAGTAGCACAAGGGAAGAGACTTGTTCTTACTCATAAGTCCTGTAGAATTCTGACTTTTCAAACTATACAGGTATGAATAAAAAGGAAAGCAAACCATCTAAGAGAAGATAAAGTCAATTTATACATTAATTAAAATATTTTAACCAGGCAATGTACAATCCTGCAATTCTAGATTTGAATTCCAGCTCCCAACACCTACTAGCTACGAAACCTTACAGTAATTTAACCCTTCCCAAGCCTCATTTTCTTCAACATTAAAACAGAAATATTCATCAGATCATTATGAGCCATGCATGTTATTATTCAGATACATGCCTTTTATATAATACCTGCATCTAAAGAACCGAGTAAATTCTAACATCCTGAGAAGTACATGCAGGCACCTAGCTTCCATGTGCCAGGTCCTTGGGAATAACTGACAGGGCTTGGAATGTATAAACCTGGGCTCCTATAACTCATCATACATGAGAATTGCCAGACTGTCTGAGAAAAGCACTGTAATCATGAACTCTGACTCTTGGAAAGTCATCATATATACTGAAAGAAGCTGATCTGACAAATGAAGAAAGGTAATTGAAATATATTTCAAACAGTTTCACTTCCTATTCAGGTGGCAGTCAGCAGAAGTCCATAAAAGCAGCAAGTGATGATTTATTGATATAATGGCTACATGGGAAGCAAGTGGATAAATGATAAATAATACACAGAATAGATTTTGAATATAAAGAATTTAAATTTTGCATGGTCTTGTTTCCTTCTCCCAATGCTCTTGAATTATTTTAACATTTTTTGTTAACAACCGGTGCTCAAAGAATTAGTAACTTGTTCAAGATCACAAAGTTAATAAAAGTGCAGCTGAACACAGGCACCTGGAACCTTGGTGCCTATCTTTATAAAAGCTATTGTATCCTATGAAGACTTTTTTGGAATTGGTCAAAATCAAACTACGTCTCTCAATTCAGATTAAGTTTCCCTAAGTATGAGTATGCCTATTAATCCAGAATGGGAAGAAAACATTAAATTTTTGTGTGTGTTTGATTTCAGGACAAGGAATTCCAAAAAACAACAGAGATTCCTAGGAGGATATGGTGGAAATACTTCAAAAAGATTGTAATTATCACCATGGCAATTCTCCTTTCAATTATTATCATTCTTTTAGGTGTAAATGTAATACCACTCTGACCTTCATCCATCCCCAACAGGTACCAATAAATCACTGCATGTGATAATAGATTTCTGTAGCCAACAATCGGGAAGTCATTTCCTAGTGGTAGAGGATTAAAGTAAAAGTAGATTAGAGTATTTCTCTATCCCTTGACTCGTCTCTGTACCTTTTCCATCTCTTTAATACCATTTGTTCTTTGCCAGTTTTACTACTTCCCAACCTCACTTCCCCTAAGATGAAGCTCCACTCTCAGCTATGCCAAACCATCTGCGTCTCTTAGCCCGTGCCCATTCCTGCACCTATGAAGAGCTCATCGTCACTGAAGAGTCGTGGGCATGTCTCCCACACAGTTAATGTTGTTAACTATTAATAGGAAAAGATGATGGCATTAACACCATTAATTAAGCACCTACAATCATCTCACTGAACCAGAAGTTAACTTGAACTTAAAATACCCTTACAAACATGGTAATTTTAAGTATAGTCCAGAAATACACATTCACTTTTTCTACATACTGTTTCACTTTAAATGAAAATTGAAGCTATTGAGTTTTATATGGAGGCATACCCTTGTAAAAGAATCAAAAACCCACTGAGCCTCATCATTTGTCATAAATCACAGTACTCTATTTTACTTATCATCCTAACAGCCTTTGTCATTTTTTTAAATATACCTCATCCAGGAACAAAGATTTCTAGTAATTACAGCACCCAGCTTTGCTTTGTAGTTACTAACAAAGTGTCTGTCATGAGTTCTACTTCCCAAGCAGGAACTTGCATTCTGAAGGCAGTTTTTAAAATTATTTAATGTCAAGCATGGTGGCACACATCTGTAATCCCAGCTACTCAGGAGCCTGAGGCAAGAGGATTGCAAGTTCAAGTCCAGTCTGAACAACTTAGCGAGAGATGAGACCATCTCAAAATTAAAAATAAAAAATAGGGCCAAGGATTTAGCTCAGTGGTGCCGCTGCCTGCCTCACAAGTGCAAAGTCCTGTGTTCTATCCCCAGTACCAAAAAAATAATTAATTTTTAAAAATAAAAATAATTAAAAATAAAGTCATGATGGGCCTGGGATTTGACTCAGTGGTTCTGCTGCCTGCTTCTCAAGCACAAGGGCTTGAGTCCGAACCCCGGTACCAAAATAAATAAATAAAGGCATGGGGATATATAGCTCAGTAGTAAAACACCTTAGGTTCCATCTCCAGTATGAAAGAATAAAAATTAGTGATTTGTGGGCAACAGGGGATCCTAATTTCTGTTCACTCACTTTAATTATGGTAATGATCAAATACCAGCATTTTAGATGGCTGCTAAGCTTGGCATTCCTTCAACATAGTATCACCTTTCCAGTCACAAAAATATGTTTAAATAAGTTGAAATGTTAGAAACAGTGGGGTTTCTATAATTTACAACCAGAGAAAAAAGTAAGGGGCTGAACACTGACTCTGATACAATATACTAAGTGTCTCGGGAGATGAGTAGCTCACTGAATTTTAGTGACACTGAGAGGTAAGAACTGTTTAGTATAATGTAAAGCACACAAGTCAGTGGCTGTTTATATAATTATCTTTATTCTGCAGATGACAAAACAGCCAAGTTTAATGGTAAGTTCAAGGTCACATAGCTAGAAATCTGATTTTACTGATTCAAGCGCCCACTGTACTCGACATAGAAGACCCATGTCTAATTTGAGTCTATTGTGTGACCCCTTACTTGTAGATCAGACAAGACAGATCAGCACCCTTCTGTTTGCTGAGAGTTTGGATGGTTGTTTTTAGGGGACAGAGAATTTGAAGAAGAATGTGGGAGAAGGAATTGTCATGTATGTCACTACTATTCTTGAAGCCCTGTAAAGTGTGCCTCCTAATAGCTCTGTAACTTATAATTATATATAAAACATTATTCTGTACCTTGTGAATAATAGTATAATTATTGCTGGAAAACTGTGAACTTAAATCCACCCAATCAGAAGCCAGCCGTGGTGTTGCACGACCTGGAGTCTTAGCACTTGGGAGGCTAACACAGGAGGATTGCAAATACAAGGCTGGCTAACAAGATGCTGTCTTTAAAACAAAAGCAAAAAACATCTAATCTAGCTGCTCATTTTACATATTAGGAAGCAAAAACTCAAAAACCTAAATGAGCCTTTTCAGGTTCCTCTCCATCCATAGGCAGCAGGCTTAATGTACAAGTCATCACCTGGTTCCGGGCAAGCAGTCCCATATAATGCTTGTTTTCCCACACAATCTTAAAGTTTTCAAAATAATTTATAAGCTATTGAAAACTTTCTGGGAAAAGGAAAGGATTTGTTTAGTAAAGTTTCCCTACTATTTGTGCTACAGCTGTCAGAATATACCTTAGCAGAAGCAAATATTATGGGAATCTTAGATTTTTCATGTATTTATATATTTAGGGACCACTACTTAATAACTTAAGCCAAACAGTTCTAAAGCATTAGATTTATTCTAACCTATGACATAAAAGCATTAAAGTTATTCTAACCTACGACATAGATAAAAAAACTTGTTTGAAAAACAGTTTGTATATATGTGTAAGACATGCTGCTAATCCTACCAAAAGCCTACATTTTAGCTGAAGAGGCAAGTGCAACAAAAATGCAATGTTACAACAGTGTGTACAGAAGTGGTGCCCTGTATAGCAGAAGATATGTTCAAGGAAGATGATCAATACGGGTTTGAGACACTAATTCCATAGGTTATAAAGGGGCTTGGATCTGGGTCTTATTGAAAATTATGTCAGTAGGTGAAGGCACTTATTAACTTGTTGAGCACTTACAATGTGTCAATGACCATTGTTTAAGGATGGGGAGTCTTATTTAATCTTTACAACCTCCTTAAGAGGTTCTTTTGCTGTATTCCCATTTTATACATGACAAAACAAAACAAGTTGTCCCTTGCCTGAGTCTCCTGGTTTCTTTTGAAAGAGGAACGGATTGAATAAATTAAGTCACTGCTTGCTGCTGAGGTGCACAGGATGCACTGGGCCCTGTAATCCAGCCTGTCATTCATTTACTCAAATGGCTGGCACCAGACCTCAACCTTTGGTTCTCTTCTGAATACCAAACAATTTTCCAGCTTTCTACTGGATATCCTCTTAGATAACCTTACTTCCAAACTCAGTAAAAAGGGTCACAGCTATCCTGTAATCTAGAACCATCTTAGCCTGCCTTGATGCCTTTTGCTCCTTTCCTATGAATCACAGGATTCATCAAAGCTCCTGATGGTTTCTAAGGAAGCCCAGATCTACAGAAATAAGTAACAGCAGGGAGGAGACCCAAGTGCGCCTAGGAAAGCTCTGAGGAAGGACCCTCAACCCATCATGGCTGATGGCTGTCTCCCCCCTCCATGGGGGATGCACTGTGCTCCTCTTTGCATTGTGGCTTGCACGCACACACAGGCACTTACAATCTAGTACTCTGTCATTTCCACAAAACACAGAAACAAATGTGAACCTTCAGTATGAGAATCACCTAGGGGTTTTAGTAATTCTGTGGCTTCACACCTTCAATTTCTGCTTCACTCTGGGATAGGGTATGTGTGTAATCTCCTGAAGTTGAGAACTGCTAACTAACCTAAGGTCACTTTGCATGCCTATCACTTACTGCTCATAATTTTACAGTTGGAAAAAACTTTGGTTTTTTTGAGACAGTCTATGTAGATCAGGATAGCCTCGAACTCAAGAGATCCTCCTGCCTCAGCCTAGCTAAGTGCTAGGATTACAGGCACATGCCACCATACCCAGCTTTTTAATGTGTTCAGCATCACTGATCAGAGTAGGACTTGAGCTCCATTCACCTAAATAACCCCATTAAATATATTAAGAGAAACTGAAAATCTGCAAAATAGGATTTCCCGTACATTTTAATAAATCTGAAAGGATTACATTAGCTTCTTTTGAAAGTTCATGTTACCCAGTATAGGAACAAGGCCTCTCATTCAACCTCATTATAGAGATGGCAGAACCTAGAATTAGCAAAACCCATTATTTAACTCTGGTCTGATTTTTTTTTGTGGAACACAAAGGCAAATCACAAGCTGGTAACAAGATGTCACTTGTTGGGAAGCAGCCTGTTCAGCACTGCACCACGTCCCAAGGTAACAAGGACCTCTTCTTGGCAGGCCAGCACTGTGTAGCCCACATTCCTTTAAACGTTCTCAACAGACAGGAAAGTAGTCCATGGATAGTGAAACAATAACCTTACATTTTCTGTATTTACATTATCCCTGAGTACAGCATCACTGCTGTTACACATCTAATTCAATTTACCATTTTCTGAAAATTTTGTAGTAAGTCTCCATAAAATGGTAAGAGCCTACTAGCACTTTTAGTGGTCTCACTAGACAGTAAACACAACGGAGGTCAAAGTCAAACACTTAACCACCTCATACAAAATCTTCCAACTCTCAAGATCCTTCCTGTACTTTCTGGTAAGAAACTGGAATTGCCCTACCCGATTCAGTGACTCTTCAACTTGTAAATACAACTTGACAAATTGTACATTTACTTTCAAAAGAAGCCCATCATTTAAAATTCTTGTCATGTTTAAACATTATGGTAGCTGCCTTACCTTCTCAACTAAAAACAAGACCTATGGATTTCAATGTACTCACCCAAAAGAAGTTAAAAAAAGAAAAAAAAAAAAGACAATGCAAAAAATGCATGAGTGCTGTAAGAGTTTAATTATACGACAAAAGCACTACATTATAATTTGAACATATCTTTCAGAAAAGAAAATTTAGTGAAAATTAAAACCCCATGAAAGCCCACTATCAACTTCATATGAAGATCTAGAAGTAGGCTTCTAGAAATAGAAACACTTGGATCCAGTGGAATTTGCATAAGAATGTCTTGTTAATGGTACAGAGAACATCATGTAGTTTAAAATCAAGTCAACCAGGTACTTAAAAAGACGAGCTAACAGGCCTTAATACAAAAAATGGATTGATTAGTGGTAGCATGCTTTATATATCAATAATGGTAGGAGCAATTTACAACAAACTTCTGAGCATTTCAAAATTTTATTTTCTGCCTTAGCTAAATCTCTTAACTACACTATAATAGCCATCTTCCAATTTTTTTGAATAAGGGTTCCACTTTATTGTTTATGGTGATTAACCTCTACGTAATCCAAAGCCATCCATACAACAACAAAAAAAAGCAGTAATTCCTTTTTTCAAGTATTTATTTAAAGCAGTTTCCATGACATGTTAAATGTCACATTTAGATACTGGCATTAACAGATCTCTTTAGGTTTCTTCCAATATTTTTTTTTCTAAAATTTTAAAAGCTAGGAAAATAACCTTGCCTTCAAACTCTACAGTGCAAACAGAATACAATCTGATTACAAAATAAAACACAAATTAATCTTGTAGTCTCTTCCCAACATCAAATTTCCCAATATAACCCCATAACTTCTATTATCAGTTTGACGAAATAGTGCCTACCTGTACTTTATTTGAAGACTTTAAAGAATTCCTCCCATCACAAGTTAAAATAACATATATGGACTGTTGTAACAAGAACACCTGGTTCTTAGGATCCAAGTCTTATGTAGTATCTTACCCCTTCTAAAAGTAGTAGTTTTTTAAGATCTTTTATATGCCCTTAGTAAGAATTCATCCATCCCAAAATTTCTTTCCTTTACAGGGCTTACAGGACCAATCCACTAACATTTAGCAACTACCTCATTGCTTTTCCTAAATTACACTGTCCTCTGGTCCCACATGCTGTACTTTACCTAGTCTTTTGAGAGGTTAGCAAAAAAGGTTACCCTTTTTGAGAGGTTTTAAAGACAGTAAATAACCAGCCCGTCAATATGAAATTAATTTGAATTAACTTACAGTGCAATGAATAAAATCAAGGGCAAATCAAAAGGGGTCTGGGATAAGATAGTAAGGGGAATACATTCTCTGCAGAGAACTTAGTAAGTCAATTTACCATGTTCCCAGTCTCTAGCAACCCCCTCCCCCACTCTTCTTCCACTTGGTACAATTGCTATTGTCTTGTAAACTCAACAGAATGCTAACATTTTTTTCATGCTAAACTTAGCACCCATGATTTAAATGCTTAGTGTAAATTTTATAAAACGTGCCCTACTTCTACACAGGAAGGAAAAGTAAAAGCCAAAAAACCTTATCAAGTAGCATGTTTTACCATCTTAAAGCAATGATTCTTCATAGCTAAGTTCACTCGGGGCATGTGAAATACTGACCAGGCAGCACCTCTAGCAACTTAATTTGATTCTGATGAGGATGCCTTACAAGCCTCTTTGAAATGCCAATCAGGTTATAATCAACCCTTCAGAAAGCTAATTACAGGGTGTACAGACTCAACTTGCACAAATGATTCTCCTACTAGAATTACTTTACCTGTGGAAATTTTTAGGTAAGACTATGCCAAATAATAGCTTGTGGCCAGGATTGAACAAAGATATTCCCTTCTCAAACTTCAAGTAGTTTTTTAAAAATCTTATTTTGTGAAGTTTGGAGTTATCCTTAATGTTAGCACATTGGTAATTTAGGAGACTGCTCCCAAATAAATTTCACTGATATATACCATTACATTTACCTATTGTGTCAATGCAAGTTAAACGGACCCAAGCCAAAGAAATACTTAAATTTCAGGACCAACATATACTGTGAACAATGGGTTCAGTCCTGGCTTCCAGAATCCCTAATATTTCAAAGCCCTATGAAATACTGACAAGAAAAGTATGAGGTGGGTGGACTCCCACCTCCAAGCAGTAAAATCTAAACATAAAGGTTAAACTAGTGATAGAAAGCAAATGCCTAATTGGATGCTAATGTTTTGAGACTACCATCATAAACTGGCACCTGGATAGATGTTCCACACATTAAGGGGACTATAACTCAGGGACAACCAAGTATAATGAAGAAATTGCTGAGTGTGGAAAGAGTTAAAATGTTAAGAAGGCAGTAGAGGGCTGTGGATGTAACTCAGCACAGTGCCTGCCTGGCAAGTGTGAGGAGCCGAGTTCAATCCTCATTACAAAAGAAAAACACAAAAAGATGGCAGTAGACATGTAGTAAGTCAAAAGGTATCAAAATCTGAATTAGAACAACAGACCCACAATGCTCATTACTTGAAAGTGGGAATGGTAGTTCCACCAAGACTAGCAAACTCAGAGTTGAAATCGATGCTATTTAACATCGGTAAATTAAGGCTGATGCTATAGTAAATCAGTGAAGAGCTGGTAAACTTTCTTAGCCAAATAATAGGATACTGAGCTGTTAATGCTTTACCTGTTTCTTCTATCTCCCCAAATCTTTCACAACCATCCAAACACACACAAAATAGCCATAGTAACATCACCCTTCTGAAATCCTATTAAAAATCAAGATCTTTAAAAAGCAGGGAGGGGAGACCTTGTATATTTAAAAAAAAAAAAATCAAGCAGCAGAAGACAGCAACAATATTTTAGACGCTAAAACTGAAATACTCTATGGGCCCTTAAGATATCTCAGAATGTCCCCACAAAACCTCAGCAAAGGCTGAAGAACTGGCAGCCCAACTACCAGCAGAAATATAGGTTAATAGAGCCAAAGAGGGCTGGTTCAATCTGTTAGATCTCCAGATCCTCTCTACTGCCAGACAACTGACTCCACCAACCTGGAGAAACTGATTGGCGGAAGCAGTTGAGAGGGTTCTTTGGATCTAAGATCCTTCAGCCATCTTTCCCCAAAGATGAGAACACTAGCAAGCTGGGTTTTATGCCCTTCAGGCAGGAGTGTGAATACCCCTCATAACCCTAACCAACAGATTAGCTAGTTGTTCCTCAACAAAATCTCAGATCATCCAGCAGACTCCCAAGGTTCACAAGCTCTTCTCCCAGCCACACCAAATATTTGATTGTTTAAAAAAAAAGGTTACATAAGCCAAAGCAACAAGGAAATACGTGAGTAAAGCTCTTAAGTTATCATGAGTAACTTTTAGAGATAATGAAGATATATCTACATAAGATTATTTGTACCAGATTAGGGGTATCTTAAAAATTAAGAGGTAACTGATACTTTAAATCTGTTAAAGGATGAAAGATTAAATTGTACAAATTGGACAAGACACTACAGTGGAAAACAGAACAACAAGATGCCTAAGGTTCATGCCTAGTAATAAGAATTCTAGAGAACTAAGATCGGCATGGCAAATAAGAAAAGCCCACAAAACTTAAGATCCAAAGGGCTGGGGATTTAGCTCAGTGGCACCATGCCTGCCTCAAAAGGGCAAGGGTGAGTTCGATCCCCAGTAACAAAAACAAAAACAAAAACACACTTAAAATCCACTAACTGCTCAACACAATGGAGAAAATAAACCGAGGACAGCCGTGAAATTTCAGAGTACTGGAGATACAAGTAAAAATCCATAATTTCTACTAATTTCATACATAAAGTCAAGATTCAAAGTAATATCAAATTTCTTCACCAAATCTGTCTAGCCATCCTGATAATCTAGTTTGGGTATAGAAGACAGGAAAGCCTCAAATTTTATCTGCTGTAGCAAACCAAGAAAGCATTGGTTCACAATCTAAACTGAGAAGTGAGACCCCCAGAGTGATAGCAAAGCCCAGCTAGTTATTCAAAGGCAACCATTTCAGACTAGACTATAGAAGTCAAAAAGATGAAGCTGATTAATTGCCAAATAGATTTATGTACAAGTGGAAAAATTTACATCTTGTTAGTATGGAGATAAATTAGTGTCTGGAGTTAAGAAAAATACTTATATTCAGGCCAAGAGATGAAACACCTAAAATCGATGCGAGAATAAGAATGCAAATACAACTTAGATATATGGCAACAAAGAGTAAAGCTTTGAGTATTTTCTATACATTGTGTCACTGTTATAACAAGAATCTCCATAATTTAAACATAAAATTACTGTGGTACAACAAATCTAAACATAGCAATGACTGTCATTTTCTTCTAATCCAATTTATCAAATTATGGGGCTTATAAACATCTCAACACCAGCCACAGCACAGCCATTTCTCCTAATCCCATCAGTTTTAAACCCAGTTAGGATTTTACATAAATAAGCATAGTATTACAAAATAAAACCCCAGCCTAACAGTAATTTTTTTCCACTGATCTAGATCAGTTGTCAAAAAAACTTTCTACAAAGATCAAGACGGCATTTTAGCTGTCTGAGTTTGTCCTAACTACTCAGTTCTGCCACAGTAGCACAAAACTTGCCATATACAACCTGTAAACAAATGAGCATATATATGATGCAATGCTCTTTTACAAAAACAGGCTGCAGACCCCCAATTTGGATATCTACCTAGGATTTTGAGCTACTGATACTGGTCCCAAACTCATGGTGGTGAACCTACTGCCTCAGCATCCCAAGTGCTGGGAATACAGGGATACACCACCAGGACCAACAGGAGCTCTTAAAACACCAGATGTAACTCAACTCCACAAAGGGAATCAAAAAGCTATTTAATCATCTCATTCTGCTATAAAATTAGTACATTTTTCATGTCAGCTTTTTCCTAGTTAACTAATTCTCAAGAGTCTGATATGAACTGATTTACCAGTCTTAAATTCTCACTTGGGGATTTAACACATATTAACATTCACTTTTGAGTAGTAACTATGAAGAATTTTCCATCCAAGTGATAGGCATCAAATTCCCCGTTTACGTAATAGATCCCAAGAACCTTACAACTCAGAAGTCTTACCAATTTGTACAATTTTACAAATACAACAAGTGATAGGAGAAACTATACTGACTGAACCTAAGTTGTCATTCGGATCCCTGCTCAGACTTTTTAGACTGACTCAGAATTCACAGGTCACCTTCAAACAGCTATCTTAATATTCTAACAAAAAAACAAAACAAAAAACCAAAATAACCCTTCAAACAAATGAGCACACATAAACACAGTATACATTTCTTTAATCCTCCCTCAGCACTCTATTAAGTATTAAGTCCACCCACAGCCCTAAAAATCTTTCTGAACTAGCTGCGCTTCTATTGTAATTAACATTATTAAGTCCTTTTATTTAATGGAAACATAAAAACTTCAGTGCAAAGGGATTCTTGCACATTTATCCAAATTTGTTCTAAAAAGCATTAATACAGATTAAGCCAAAAACTGGGCATTCGGGAAAGTACTCATATAAAACTTAATGGCTACAGAAGGAATATTGTAACAACCAACAAATAAATCGATTATTATTTCCAACTTGGACAGGGAGGACACACCATGGTAACACTTTTGCTAAAAACATTTAAAATTTCACTGCAATTTTAACCATGTCAATTTTGACAGTTTACAGTTTTTTATTCAAATTTATGCTTCTATTAACTTGAATGCATGACAATTTTTAATATTCCTCAGTTTTTCCTGGTCTGATGATAAAAGAGCCAATACATTTTTATACAAAAGGATTTATTAAAAAACCAGTAAGACACTACTACATCATGACACTGTCACACTGGGCTTTTAACACAAGACTTGCTCTACAATACTGGGGGAAGGGCATAAAACACAAATTGATTCTGAAGCATAGCAATTAAGAAATAAAACAATGAAAGCAAATTTCTTTTAATGAAAACTCAGAATTAAACTTCAGAGGGACCCAACGTCATACTTCCATTCGGGGACTTGATACAAAAAATTTAGTTTGAACTGCTATTAGCAGGTGGCAGGAGCCACCTTCAAATGAATCTTCAAATTGGAAAATACTGCTTCACCACCTGGAGACAAAGAGAAGAAAAAAGAAAGTCACTCTGAGTAGGCTACAACACTTACCAAAATTTACATAAAACTGAATTATCCCTATGTCCACTATACTCAGTAAATAACTGAGTAACATTAAATGTGTGATATGTTTTATAAATTAAAGCTGAACAGTACAGTCCATGAGCTGTAAATCCACATGTGCACCACTGGTTTAAGATATGATATGCTTTCATAAGGATTCTTTCAAATTACAAAAAGCTTTTCAAAAAGTATCACCTACAGAACTCATAAAAAGCTCAGTCAATTTGGTAAAAGGACATTTTGACCCAAAACATTCTATAATTTAAACTTATTTTATTGGATCAGCATATCTCTTTGCTCATCACAAGTTATAGAAAAGTTATATACAACTAAAAGAAAAAGTTATAAATAATTATAGTTATCTAAGGAGTTGTCACAACAGGAATTCAGCTCAAGAACTTCTTGCAATTACTGCTACAACGTCTATAAATGGGAAAAGCAAGCATTAAAATAGATTAATAAAATATAAAATTAAGACTGGAAAATCCAGAGACAAGCTGTATCCTTAGAAGAATAAATAGTTAAAATTATTCAGTAAGCTGACGTATTTAACCATTACTGGGCCTGTAAAAAATGCATTAAAATTACATTACAAATAGTTTTTAAAAAGCAAAGAAATAAGTGAAGGCAAAGCTTGAAGTATCCACTTTATTTTATAATGCTGATACAGGATGTTGGAAGAGACCATACCAAACGGCAGCATTCGAGAGCGTGAGCATCTCGTACCCTGTCCGCATTGAGCGGGCCTGTGAGAATCGTGAAGTCAGCGCGACACAGGGCCTGCAATGAAGCTCCCGCTGGCGGGTACAAACAAGGTATAATGTCAGAGTTAGTAGGCAATATTTTTTTGCTGTAATTCCTTAATTTGTACCCATTAGCAGTACTTTACCTGTTAACTTTACTGACTTGTTAATAATAGGGCAAAAAGGCAAAAAGCTTAAAAGCACCTGTTACATATATTGAAAAGTCACTATGTAATAATATGGTAAGCACTTCTGGGTGCTGCAAAACTCTAAAATATTAAGCACTGTTTTATATACAATATAGATTATATAAACTACTATTTTAAAAGGATCTCTTAAAAAATTATTTTTAGAACATACCTGTTGGGGATAAGTTGCAAATGGAATAATTTAGTATGGTTTGTAGCTATTTTGATGACCACCTCGCCTGGATACTTTTCCATAACCACTCTGCTGGTCTAAAATAGAAAAAGTGTTAAAACCACATCTGTAGTGGTTACATAATCATCAGAACAGAGTATTAATTTCAAATAATCTCAAAAATCCCCAAGCATGAAAAATTCATCCAGAGATCATTTAACCAGTAATTTCACAAAATGTGTACTGAATGCCTAAAATGCCAAGCATTCAGTATGAGTTTATTACTTGCTTGAAATGGAAGACAATGCCCTGACCATTTATAAAGGTCTAAGGTTCCAAAGCAAGGATAGCTGACCCTTTCACACCAACCAGGTAAAACCACCTTACAACAGGAGATTGTCAACCAGTTAATGCTTTATTATTTCTGCCCTTCTCGGTCAGCAAAGGGCCATCTCACCCGCTTCATCTTTGCTGACCTTCTTCTGACTTTAGTTAACCTATTATTGTGCAGCAGGCCTAGTCACCTAAAAGGATGTTAATTCCAAGAACTGGTCTAACCAAGGAAGGAAAAAAAACACCACTTAATGCAATCAGTGTAACCACTCTCCTCTAAAGAAAGCCAAGACTGCTTCTAAAACAGCCCTTTCCCAAATGACTCAAAACACACCACAGATTAGGTGGGGGGGGCATCTTAGTTACACAAACAGGCCACGGCTTTCTAAATCTAAATTTCACATTTTCTGCTCTATCACGTTCAACATCTAAGAGTTTCTACATCAATAATTTTAAAACAGAGGATACGATTAAGTTTTAACTGGCAACATGTGATATTAGTTAATTATATAGGATATTAAGACATTTTATGCCAAGATTATTGGTTGGTCCAAGAATAGACACTTCGAATTATCCTCAGCTCACAAGATCTGACCGATACGTAAATATTTTCAAATGCGAGAGAAGCTCCCAGCATACATATGCAAAAACTCACATACAACCTACCCTTATAATATGCATGTGATACAGACTGGGAGGAACCTGGCAATAAAATGGCTGCAGTTTAAAGTTTCCAGGAATTTGAAACCTGAAGACGTTTTGCACTTGGCAAAGCTACACTAACTTTTCTACCTATCCAAATTTGTACAAAATAAATGTCAAATAGCAGTTAATATAAAAAGTATAGTACTTACTGCTATAATCACCATATCCATAGTAGTTGTTGTAACCAGTGTAGTCATATCCTCCATAACCACCGTAACCTTGGCTGTTATATCCATAGTTGCCATAGCCTTGATTCCAATAGTTACTATATCCCTGGTTCCAGTTTTGACTGGGGCCTGCAGCACATTAATAGGTTCACTAAAGTCAGAAGATCAGCAAAGATCTTTACTTCAGGATAATTAAAAAGCAGAAAAGCTTAAGATAGAGTAAACGAAGGCTATAGCTTACCACCACCTCTCCCACGAGCTCTTCCCGAAAATCCTCCTCTTGACCCCCACTGCTGCTGTTGCTGGTACTGCTCCTTCGACATTGCTACTTTTATTTCACACTAGAAGAGAAAAATTATGTTATACTATAGAAAAAAATAAAGTTGCTTATCAGTTTATAATAACCAGAACAGCCAATACTGTTCATCTACTGTTGGCTAAGTTGGTGCTTTCCTCCAAATCCATTTGTCAACTCAAATCAATTATTAGCATTGAGAGGAATAAGCAATTCCAACGACACTCAGTTAAGTATTTGCTAGAGATGGTATTACTTCATTTCACTTGTCAGGTCCTAAAATAATATTTTTTGATAAAAGGCTAAACAAAAACTCATTTCAGCAATTCTGGCTCATCAATAAAAGCAAAAAATAAAAAACAAAAAAGTCTATCAATGACTGCCAATTTAGGAGCCAGTGGGATATCCTTAAAACATAAGCATACAAAGATTTACAGTGAGCCCATCTATTAAATTGTTAATTGCTTGCTTTCTCTACAAGTTAACAGATGCTTAAAACTTACTTTACTAAGCCCAACATTGTGGTATTTCTTTTCCATTATCTTCTTCACTGGTTCTTCTTCCTTAAAGGTAATGAAGCAGAATCCACGCCTCTTATTGGTTTTGTTGTCCATGGGGAGCTCTATGGATTCCACCTAGTATCAAAAAACAATGTTTAGTACCCTAGTTAGCATTTATTAAAAGCACAAAGTTTAGCAGAAAATATAGATTTGGCCCTCAAGTTCTATTCTCCTATGCCTCTTTACTGTTTATTATAACCATTTTAAGTTTTCAAATTGTAATATCCACACTAAGTCAATATACCCAACCATAAAACCAAGCTGCACCAGTTACTGACATGTTACCTAACCCAAGAATCACAAACTCAAATGCCAACAAACGACAAGCCAGTTTTAAGAAAAACTGAATTTGAATGTCTGCATTTGAGAGAAAGCTCTAAGTGGAGTAAGACTACCACCAACAGCAAACACCACACCCAAGGTGGAAGCTGCTACTCAAATCTTAAGATGGCTGTTGCCATTCAGGAATGCAGCAGCAGTTCTGATACTGCTTGCTGCTCTTGCAAATAGTCTATAGTCTCTTAAATTTATATTTTGTGTATATGTGTGTTCTGGGGATGAAACTCAAGACCATCACACTGAGCTATACGTGCAACCCTTTCTTATTTTGAGACAGGGTCTAAGTTGCCCAGGCTGAGTTTGAACTTAGAATCTTCCTGCCTCTGCCTCCTAGAGTGCTGAGATTAAAGGCCCCTGTACCCAGCTTAAATTTGCATTTATATATAAGACACTATATCCTATCCTTAATTCATTCTTTTCCTATTCTCAAATAAACTTTCCTTCTATACCTTAGGCAACCTATTTGGACAACTTCTTTTCATTTTATTTTTATATCTTCTACTAATCCAATAAACTGCTTGAATTAAGAATGCTTGTCCCAAGCCAGGTGCAATACAGAACCTGCTTGTAGTCCCAGCTACTACTCAGAAGGAAATTTTAATCAATTAACCTTTAGCCATCTGCTGAAGGTTATTTTCAACCCACTTTTTTTCCCCCCGTTGGTTTGAGACAGGATCTCACTGTGTAGCCCAGGAACTAGCAGCAAACCTCCTGGCCTTAGCCTCCCAATATTTTCAACATTTTAATTCCAAAACAAATCATATACTCTGCCCTAACTTTAAAGAGCTTTTAAAAAATCCAGTGAATTGGGACCTACTATGGCCTCACTCACACTAATTTTGACATAAACTGGGGTAAAGCATTTAAAACATACCTCACCAAAACCACCAAAGTACTCCCTTATTTTCTCTTCAGGTGTATCTGGAGAAAGGCCACCAACAAAAATTTTTTTAACAGGCTCTTTTGTTTTCATGGCTTTGGCCCTTTTAGGATCAATCACCTTTCCATTCAATTTATGTTCTTTCTGATCCATGACCTAAGGAAATTAAGTTTTCCATTTTAAATATTTGAAACTTAACTGAAATTCAGACTTATCAACTAACTTTAAAACTACAGCTATGTATAGCTCATGTCAGGCATATATTGACTAGCTCAAGATTAAACTATGAAGTCATGGTGATATGACATCAGCTAATACATACTAGTATTTAAATTTCAAGGACAGTAAGAACGGAACAGGGTATACTACACAAATTTAACATTCAACTGGGTACCATCAACTTTTTAAACTACCAAGCAACATAAACAAACATGGTTGCTACTTCCCATAGTCCAGGACCAAAACAATTATTTGATCAAAAGGTGCTTACGAAAAAACTTTAAAAGACACACTTCTGTGAACCTGTCACAGAATGTCCTTTTATATTAGGCACTTAAGGTTTTTCAGAACATGTGTATGTCTTGTTGGGAAAGGAACATAGCCTTGTCCATGCTAGCGAAGAGCTACACCCCAGCCAAGTCTGTCTCTACCCGACTTTGGCGGGGGATTGGGGGCTGAACTCAGTTAATTTTAATTTAGTAATACCTGGCATACAAAAAAGTATGCAGTAAATAATTTCTGAATCTGCCTATTTGTAAACTGTTTTGGCAAGCTGTACTTCTTCCTTCTTAACCTTGAAAAGGGAAAACCGCAAATGGGCAAATTCATTACATCAAACTATTTTTTATGTTTACTGATCAGAATACATAACACACTACCTTATCTACACTCTCCGACTCTTTAAATAGCACAAAGCCAAAACCCCTTGATCGCCCTGTGATAGGATCTAACTTCAGAGTGCAGTCTACAACTTCACCAAATTTGGAAAAGTAGTCCTTCAGATCTTTCTTTGTAGTGTCCCAGCTAAGGCCTCCTATAAACATTTTCCTGTAAAGACAAAAAGCAGTATTAAAATGCTAAAAAGAAAATTAAGCTTTGCCTTAAATACTATATTATCTACATCAGTAAAGCACCTTTTCCAAACTGCACCAATTTACTGGGCAGTGTATTAAAATGTCATTCTTCCTATATAGCCACACATCAAAAACATTTCAAGAAGTTTTGCTTTCTGCTGCCGCTGGGTAATTATAAAATAGTGAGCAGACAGCAAATTAGGCCTGCCAACTTGCAAAAAAAAAAAAAAAGCGGGGGGGGGATAAAAGTATAGACAAAGTAAAATTACTATACAGTGCTTTTCTTAAATTAGCAAGACAGAATCTTAACTTTTTAAGTTTCTTCTGAACGTTCATTAAATTTGTCAAAAGGCCATCATCATTTTCCATTCATCACCAGCAACCAACATTGTATTTAAATTATAACTAAAGCTCCTACTTTTTAAAAAGAGTTCTCCTAGTAGCAAAGCTCTTAGCACATAAAATGGAAAAGTCTAAATCTCAGAAGTTGTGAACCAACTTTTAGAATGTACTAGAAGTTCTTAACAAAGACAAAAGTAATCATGTAAACAATTTAGTGAAAAAATCCACTGAAGCACAATTCACTAATTAGGTGATTTACTTACAGTAGAACCTCAGTTAACCAGCAATATTTAAGTCTAAATAAAAATGGTAAAAGCTGCAGGTGCTAAGTGGAAAACCACTGAGACCAGACCAAATAAAGAACAAAAAAAATTTAAGATTAAATTTTAACATTATCAGCAAAATGCCAAAAAGCTCAAATCTAGAAAGCTGTGATCCTTTTGACATCTGCTCTCCTTGCACACAAATACACACATGTGACTAATCTATACCTTCTACTCTTTAAGACAGGAATGGAAATGTTTAAAGGTAAACTGTCAGAATTTGTTATGCAGGAGCTAAATGGGAATACAATCATGCTTTCTCAAGATTTTCCCTTCTTTTTTACTGGGGCCATCATGGGGAGTGAGGGGGCAAACATACATGCATACATACATACATACAGCTCCAGAAAAAAATTAAAGCAAGGCTTTCATATAAAATATCTCTAATCTGTGGGCTTTCAAGATGTAACCACTAAAGCCCATTATTGCAAGAGGCCAATCTACTGTCCCGCGAATTAGAGTCTTTCTTCTCTTTCACCCTCAAAGATAGCGTGATTAACTGAGGTGTTACTAGTCTATTTTACCACAAACCTGTTTAAATTCTAATGACAAAGCTAAGTTCCAGAGCAAAACTTCCATCAAGAGTGTCTGTGCTTCTCATTCCAGGCTAGGTTTTCAATTTGAACATATATTTTAGAGCTGGGCCTTTTATATGCTTAATTTTCTGGACTTCCTCAAATAAAATTCCCTTTTTGAAATAACATTTATAACCCTTTTGGTACTCTATAAAGAAATGAATATACCAAAACACCTATAATGTTGTGTAGGTATTTTAAATGTTTACTTATTGCCAATTCCATAGAAAAAGTTTGAGGTGTTGTCTCAATAGTACATATCTCATTCATTTAAATAATGTAATTTCTAATATACAATGTTTATTTACATGACTTGCTATAAATAAATTATTTTTAGCCCAAAGTACTTCCTTTATAGATTAAATTACATCACCAATAATTACCCTTTCAATGTCGGGGATACTGCTTTAAAGATAAAATCAACTGACTATAAAACATTACAGAAATTTTCTATCAATAATTTAAGTCTGAAATTATTCAGCCTAAACAAAATTTGCATCCTGTAGAGATGCAAAATAATAAAACTTATTTTTATAAAAGTAAATCTTAAAGGCAAAAAATTCGCCTGGTCTATTTATCAAGTCTCAAGACAGAACTAGTTCCAATTTTATTTAACCACAATAATCTTTACATTGAAAAATATCTTTAAATGAATACAAAAAATTTAACATTTGTAATGAGGCATATTCTATTATTCTCAACTACCAACTATTTCTCACAGGTAGAAATTTTATTACCAGATAAACATACTATACTAATTCAAGTGACCCAATATTGTTCTCAAAAGAAACTTCCCATCTTTAACATAAAAGTTAAGATTTAGAGATCAAAGGATTCATCAAACAGTACCCTACACTTAAACAACTAAATTCTATTTATCCAAAGTAATAAATACTTGGTCAACTATAACTTTTACATATTCTATACAATGGTTTCTAGTTCTCCAAAAATTAGAGCAAAATACATAGTAAAATTTCAGATATCCAGCACCTTTAAACAATTAAAAAGTTATTTATTAAGCCAGGCATCTGTGCCTGTAATCCCAGCACTCAAGAGGTTGAGGCAGGAGAATTGTGAGTTCAATGCCAGCCGGGGCTACATAGCAGGATCCTGTCTCAAAAAGCCAAAATAGCTACTAATCAGTATATCAAGTACAACTCTTTTCTTAAAGTTTTTTCACTTTTTCCAGATTAATCACAAACTGCCATTTCTAAAATGTATAGCTTCCATTTTATATGTTAAGTAGCCAGCTCTTAAAACTTCAAATTTTGCATAAAATACAGTTTCTGGGACCAGACTAAGTGGTTCTTGAGACAAATATATTAATTAGTATTTTGGCAACCCGAAAGAATTCTGGCTTTCTTCTGCTCCAATTGGTTGAACTAATAGACAAGTGAATATACTACAACTAACAATACCAAATGTATTCCATCTTTACTAAATGGAACATATTAAATCTACTCCATCTTTATTCAGTAGGCACAGCAAGCTGTGACTACATAGCACAATGGGACAAGGTGTGTTTACTGAACTTATAGGTAAATGGATGCTTATTTTAGCCTCTCTCAAACATTGACATGCACTTTCCACAAAACTATGAAAGAGCCGGATTAATACCAATTTAAATTATCTATATTTTATATGACTGTATCTCGCTTAAAGCACAATACCTACTGTCTGTCCAGATTACCTCCGCTGCCTTGAATACAGACTGATTTTCAAGTTGCTGTCACTCCTGTAGAGATGCAAACACTTTCCAATGAAGTAGAGATATTACTTCGAAAATTCCTTAAGCAGCAAAATTAAACTACCAAGACTTGTTCAAGAACAAAAACGGCTCCTAATGCTGCAACGTTAAGTTTGAAATTTGATCCTTAGTTTTAAGTGAATAATCCCCAATTAAAATATATAGGACTTCATCTATAGTATTTTATTAACCACTTTTTAAATCCTACCCCTGAACTAAGTATTTCACCCCAAAGGCAAACGGTATTCTATTTAAAACACCTACTCAACAAAGAGAAGTGTTTTTTGCTTTCAAAGCTGTATTACAGTACATCAAATTAAAAAACTCAATGACTAAAGTTACACAACTCAGTGTACATGATTATCCAAATGCTACTCCCTATCACTCAGGAATGTAGGTCACTTTGGACGTTTCATTACCTTTCAGTCCAAGTTTAGAAGGAGTAAAGCCAATTGGCTATGTTTAAATCCTACCTCTCCCACTTACTGTATATAGCCCTCTATTAAAAATTTTTTTTGAAGACTGTTTTTTTCCCATCTCTAAAGAGCCTAACTGAAGGCATCTACAATTAGGATTAAATTGGGTCAATACACTTAAAAGGCACAGAGCAGTCTGACCTATTCAAATTGCTCGTCAAAAGTTTTAATTTTGTAGGGGCAGAGCACCATGTAAACATAACTTAATAAAGCAGCTTTTTCATTTGCTCAATTTGCTTATGTTCGTAACTATAGATATTACAAACTTTCCAACATTAAAGTAAGAAGACCATGAGTTTAATATAAATGGGTCCTAAGTTTTTTTCAATTCTAACCTTAAAATATGCTAGGTATATGTTTAAATATCCCTTTAGGGAAAAATAAGGTACTGGAAAATAGGTCATCTTTAAAGGCTTAAGTGTAGCTTCTAAAGTAATCATGATGACTGTATTTAAATTTAAAACACAAAAGGCAACATACATGGAATAGTGCTGGCCGACAGAAAATGGTCCAACTTATTACCTTGGGTTTTTTTCTCCATCAATAAACTAATTTGACTTTTAGGTTTACCACTCCAAAGTCAATAAATATTTAAAGATACTCTCCCTAACAGTTCTTTACTGACAAAGATTTTATTCAAGATAAAACCCCATTACCTTTAATCTCATTTTGAGATAGGAAGCAAAAAGATGTATTCTATAAATTTTAAACACTTCCATACAGATGATTTTACACATATGGCTTCATAACAAGTTCTGACAGTTTAAAAAAGATAACAGAATATCAACTGGATAAATACTTCTGGTGTATACAGTAACTGGCCAATGACTGTCACCTTTAAAATAGTTATGTAAGCTTACTATTAATTCTCATTTAAATCATTTTTCTGGTATAATTATCCTTTAAAGCAATAAACTAAAATGAAACTGACTAGAATTTAAATCATGAGCATTTTTATTTGGAATTTATATTATATTATATATATATTTATACACACACATATATATTATTTGAGGGGGTGGTACCGGGGATCAAACTCAGGACCTTACACTTGCGAAGCAGGCAGCAGAACAACTGAGCTAAATCCCCATCCTGGAAATTATATATTTATTTTCAAGTTATATCACTAAGATATGAGAGGTTACTTCACAGCTAAGTATCACAAGGTAGGGAAATGACTAGAATTTCTAAAAAAAACCTTGGAAATAGCTTGACAAACTTTCAACACATTACTAGACTTTTTAGATCTGATCAGGTTAAAAATACACAAAAGCATATTAAAGCTGGCCAATAAATCTTCCCTCCAGAAACACTTCAGTCAAGAAAATTTAAATTCCAATATTATCTCCCCATTTTTAATATGTAATTTCTCCTCTGGCTTTATATATATGTTAAAATGACTTTTTAACAATAAGTATAAAAAAAAGAGTCCTATTATCCAAGGATAACATGTAGACCAAACATTTTCAAACCAAGATTAATTCTTCTATATTAAGTCCCTTTACTTCATACTTTAGAAAGACCCCAAATGACCATTAAAAGGTAACTAGGTTGAAACATCTAATAAATTATAAACTTGACAATTTTATAAAATAAACTTTATAAATGCTTAACCCAACAGTTCCCTTCTTCCTTCAATACAAGGAAGAAATGACCTCATGGTCTTTAATGTTATCCATCAGCTCTGTAAGGTAAACTCCCATTTACCAAGAGGTTAAGGAATGATTACTTCCTTACCATACAGGTTAATATTCTGGTTAACTGACAACACAGCATATTCACAATTCTATGAAATATTCTATCGGCAATTGACTTAGATATTAATGCTGAAATCAGAAAATGGTTTTTGCTTTTTTTTTGATGAATTCTTAAATCTGTCAACGCTTTAAATTCACAATACTTTAAAACAGAAGTAAAAATCTGTAGGATAGTCACTCCTTGATACTACCTGTTGATTTCATTTTGAATGTATTTGCTGATAGTTTCACCCATCTCACAAGACAAGTATGGGAGGTGAATTTTCTGGCTGTTAGGAGCTTTTTGGTGCTCTTGATAAGCAGGAGTTTACAGTAAATGGCCCAATATTTAAAGTGATCCACTTTGGTCACTGGCCAAACATGGCCAGTAAACAGAAGTCTTCCCTCCCTACTTCCCAAGTATTTTTAAGTACCTAGCACGATCAACATATAATGCTCCAAAAACTAAAAACATGCTTACCTTTACTCCACAGGAGTAAATCACTGGCAGTATCAACTATTAGGACACAGGATAAATACACACAAGCTATGAAAGTAGGCTATGTAGTCAATCCTCCTGTGATGAGCATTGCTTCCAACAGAGATCAGCAAACCAAGTAACAAACATATTACCTGAGACCACACTGTTGAAAGTGAACAGAAAGATTCCACACTTCCAGCATCCAGTTCAGTGCCCTAGCTACTAAAATGCTGAAAGTCAAATCAAACTTAGTCTAATGTTAAGTTATACATCACTCCATTTGTGAATATGCACACTGGAGATACACATCTTTAAGAGAAACATGAAAGTTATTTTACTCCTTTTTAAACATTTTCAAGCAATTTCTTTGTATCATCACTTGAAGGCTAAAATAATCGTCCTTAATGATAGCCATAAATCACACCAAGATAAATCTTCATCTATTAGGGCAGTCTTACAGATGACAGAATATCCAGACATTAAAAATATACAAGTTTATAGGAGGAGTCACATGGCTTGGGAGGGAAAAAAACACACCTAGGTTTGGAACAAACATTAACCTCAAAAAAAAAAAAAAAAAGTGCTGAAAATGTCAAAGACATTCTCCAATTCCAAACTTAAGAGGCTCAGAAAATTTTCAGTATCTTTCCTAAAAAATTAACACACATGGACTAGGGATATAGCTCAAGGGTAGTGTGCTTGCCTACCACACACACAAGGGCCTGGGTTAGATCTCTACCACCACTAATAGAATAATTTAATACTTCTCCCTTAAATGTTTATCATAAAATGTCAAAGACATTCTCCAATTCCAAACTTAAGAGGCTCAGAAAATTTTCAGTATCTTTCCTAAAAAATTAACACACATGGACTAGGGATATAGCTCAAGGGTAGTGTGCTTGCCTACCACACACACAAGGGCCTGGGTTAGATCTCTACCACCACTAATAGAATAATTTAATACTTCTCCCTTAAATGTTTATCATCTCAATATTTGCAGGCGTCAGTTTGTGCAATTTTTATCCTGGAAATTTGTCAAAAACTCGAAAGAATGTTTAACAGAGACCATCCACTATAGGGTCTTAATTTTACAGCAAATTCAACTTGCCTGAGACAAAGGGTGTAAATTTGGCATAAGACTGTTATAGAATTGCTTTACAAAGCAAACAGTGTTCAGATTACCCAGAAACACTAGGGTATAGAATATAATCTCAAGTATTTAGATGAAAACATTTGCAAGCCTATTTTATATTTATATATATGTGCTTTTTTTTTTTTTTTTGGTACCAGGGATTGAACTCGGGAACCACTGAGCTAAATCCCCGGCCCAGAAAGCCTATTCTTTAAATATTACACAAGAAATAACCCATAACAGAATTCCCAAAGGGGAAAGAATCACATTTGAGCTCATATTCTACTGGCTATAGGACCAGATTTATTACTGTTATTGCTGTTAATAAATACTACTATATAATGACTGATAAGTAAATGGGACTAGTTTAGTCCTTCCTAAACAATCCAATGTGGAGGGAATAATGTACCTACCTTGTAAAACTGTCCCAAAACTAGCACAGCAGTCTAGTTTTCCAATATTCTTTAAATTTTAAAAACTCTGCCCCCAGGTACTTCATTACATGGCATGTGTATTTCACCAGGCACTAAGTAATTTTAAAGTACCTACCCTGAAAGCACTGCAGCAAGTGCAGAGAACAATGATTCCACACCACAAAGTAGTATAGGAAAACTCCAATGCAATTGCTTATAAGTAAAAACTAGGGATGTTAATGTTATAAAGCTGGGTGAATTCAGAAAGTCATTTTACTATGGAAATGAACCATTATTCTCAAGTCCCACAGTAAATAAACTGTGGAAGCATACGTCTCAAAGTAACTGTTCATTCTCATTTTTAAAGAGGAAAACACTGTGCAATAAATTGACCTTTAAAACGTTTTGATGAAATTATCAACAACTGCTTTACTCTGATTTGTAAAAGGAAATGCACACAGAATGATGTTAATCAAATTTAGATGATTTTGAACCCACTAACCAGTCTTATCTACACAACTGTGAGTGTATTACAAAACTGTCACCCAATATCCCTCAAAATAGGAGACGAGGGAATAGACAACCAAAAATAGGTTCGGTGGTCTTCAGTTATTTTTACTCAAAAAGAAAAACTTAGTATTGTAACAAAATGGCGCTGGGTAATCTGGCAGTTACTAAGTCAAATGTTAAGACATTAAAAATAAGAACTATGGAGGCAGGCATGGGGGCACACACCTGTAGTCCCAGCTACTCAGGAGGCTGAGGAGAGAGGATTACTTGAGCCTATGAGTTAAAATGGGGGGGGGGAGGGGGGGGGAGAAAAAGAAAGAGAACTATCTTATAAGTGCAAACTTGCTTAATTTAAAATTTCAGCAAAATGTATTTTCAGAAGATGACAAGTGATCATAATCTAAAATGTAGACAACTGATCATAATCTAAAATGTTCATTAATTATAAATAAGTCACTCAAAAAAAGATACAAAGTGGCAGGGCAAGGATAATTCTAAAAAAGTCAAAACACTGACATTCAAATCTAAAAATTTGTTTTGTTTTGGTAGCAGGGATCAAACTCCGGACCTTGCACTTGCAAGGCAGGCGCTGGAACCACTGAGCTAAATCCCAGCCCGTTATGGTTATTTTTAATTACAGACAATAAAGATTCAAAATGTGCTACGGAATGAAGTTACAGTTTAAACTTAATTTACTATTACACAGAAGTAATACTCAACTGTGACCAACAGAGGGAGTAATAGTCATCTTAACATATTTATTCCGTATAATACACTCTGATCCTAGTATTTTCTTTTAGCTTTTCCCTTTGCCTACTTATTTCCAGTCTACTTTATCTCCAATCTAATATACAACAATATTTCAATGGATTAATAAGTTTTGTGTAAATTTCAAATGTATCCCAAACGGGCTCTTAAAATGTAATGTGGTTATACACATATAAGGCAACTATATGCAAATTATTACCTCTCTAATCTCCAGTGGTGGACAATATAAACCCCTGGAAAATTCAAATATGATTCTACAGGCATCAATATCAACCTTTAGGGGAGGTGAAGGCAGGATAAAAAGAATAACCAACGAGCCTCCAAAGAGAAGTCATGCAATTTTGAAAACATGTAAACCAAATGTAACATTCCAGCCAAATCAGTGAGAAAAAAAAAGCTGGTAAAGGGCTATAGCCAAGTCACATGAGCCCACCTCTAAATGCTTCATATCCAAGTCCTATTAAAAGTAGGATACAAATATCGTGGATGTGAAGAGACGAACATTTTTATATAAAGCAGTTATCAAAAAGTTTTACTTAATATCTGCAGAGTATCTCATTGCAACATGCAAGACATTTTAAACAGCAATTTATATCAAGTAGTCTTTATATTTAGCATTAAACTTCAAATTTCAACAGATATTTTCCTTAGTGAAAATGAACATGAAATTACATAACTTTCCCAAAATACTGAAACATTACTAATCATATTTAGTTTAAATTAACCAAACTGTAATTACATGCATTACCACCGACCAAATACCATGTAATGGCATCAATCTTGCCCAAAGATAATACATGATACCCAAAAGTTTTACATCCCAGGTACAAGATATCCTTCTATGCCAGTAATGTCTAGAATTTCCTGGGGATCAATGGGCAACTAATATATAGCCTCTGCATATTATAATAACGATTCAAACCTTTATAATACAGAAATAAAATTTAAAAAAGTTTTACCATTCTTCCCGCTGTGCCGTCGCTGCTTCAGTGTGTCGTGGGGAGGAGTTTGAATGGCTAGGGAATTAACAACCGGTACAGCAACCAATCAAAATTCTAGTTTTAGTTTTCGGCATTGTTAGGGTTAAAAACTTTTAATTCATTTACACTTCAGTTCAACAGCAGATAATTACAAAGGCAGCTGCTTTGTGATATGAAAAACTCGTGTCTAATAAAAAGCCTGTCCCAAACAGTAAGTCATACAATTAATCATTCTGGTGCTTCTGTTCAAAGAGTAGAATTCAAAAAGCAAAAAACCCAAAATGGTAAAGGCCAAATAAGCTACAAACGTTAAAGGCTTAAAAAGGTTTCCAAATAGTTTCTCAAATTAAGCTATACCTAACTCACGATTAGTTCTGTTTCATTAGAAAAAAGTTCATTTCCTCTCCTGCCTCCTCTGCCCCCCAGCCAGCACCATCAGTAAACAGCCTGACAAGAGTCTACCTGGGCTGGGATTATTCTAGCTAATACAGTGCATTCCGAAGTGATTCCCTCCCAACTCTCCCTCTTCAAATGCTGTCCTCTTACCCAGTAAAGATAATCATGGTTTCTAAATACCGGGATAGTGACGTTTATTTCATTTATCTTCCACCAAAACCTTACGACTTTTCATAATGAAAAGAAAAAAATTCTCACACCCACCCTTTACAAAAATGAATGAAAACACTAACCCAAGATGAGTAAACTTTGATTGGGAACCTGGATTTAGTCCCTCCACCTCTCGTATTATGATCCCAAATACTGCAACACCACTTATTAAAAGCAGCTCTAGGTAGCACATGCCACCGTTTCTATTAGAAGCAACCTAATACTAAGAAACCTGCAAATAAAAATTTCATCCCACAGCACAATACATGATTTTATGAAAAGGGGCGAGTAGACCTCCTTTAATAGTGGGTAAGCGTGCGGAAATAGAAATTTAAAAGGCTCCCTGACACCAAAAAAGGGGAAAGATGTAAAAAATTTAAACGGCACGGAAAAAGTATGGTAAAAGTGACAAGTGTTCAAACAGTTGGGGCATACAACAGCTGAGAGCGCGAAAAGGGTGCGCGAGGAAAGCAACTAGGCCGCCGGGGGAGACGCGCCCGGTCCAGGGCAAAGCCCACGCACCCACCGGTGAGCCGGGCATCGCTGCAGGCCCACGCCGCTCCCAGGTACAAACGCAGGGCCTAGAGATTCACGCCATTGTGCAACAATCTAAAGTGGGAAAAAATAAGTCCCAAGGCGAAACTTATTTAAATTGTAAAATGCAACCGGCACTGAGCGGCCCGGGAGCTGCGGGTTGACGGCCCGCACACGGCTCCCAGAGCCCGCGCTCATCGCGACCGCTGGCCATCTCGGGAGGGCGCGCAGCTCCAAAGAAACCTCAGCGATCGCAGCAGAAAACCGGGACGTCAAGAAAAGGGGTCAGAAGGGAACAGGAAAAAGGCATCCCCGAGACGAGCGGGAAAAATCCTGGCGGTAGAGCCGGTGGGAGGAGACCGCGCTGGAGGAAGGAGGGCGGGCGGGAGCCGCATGGTGACGGCGGAGGTGGGGACGCGGGGGGAGGGGAAGCG